CTTAGAAAACACTGGTTTAGAATCTATCGATTATCAAAAATAAATAAAATAATCGAAGATTAATTGAATTTCGCATTTGGATAATTGAATCTTCTCCAACTTCTCGCAAAGAATAATAAAATCCGCCCCTCTCCTCATATCACAATAGTCTAATGAAAGAAAGGGCGAAAAGGCAAACGAGCAAGTGTGTGTACCATTTACGAATAAGCCGTTTCTTCCTGTTTAACTTGCAAACGACTTCTCCCAGCTCCACGAATTAACTCGTTCACGCGTTAATCACAATTGTGTGTGGAACGAAAAAATTGGAAGGAAACGAGTGCACAACGTTGGGCGTTGAAGTCTCGCCGTGTACAAATTCATTTGCATGCGGATCAAGCGAAACGTTAACGCGATTACGCGTGCAATTTGCGAACACGTGAAGGAACATTTATCGATGAAAATGTGACATGGCTATGTAACCAATACGCGCCGATTAACAATTATATTCGCGCTAGTTGATGGGCTAGTTGTGTGTATAAATTGGCGTCTAATGGAGAACGTGCAGGACATCGAGAGATTGTTGGCTCTTGGCCCTAACGTAATTGAAAGTACCACGATTACTAAGGTTAATTGTTGTTACATTCTGACGAGGATAATGGGAGGATTTATCGTTTGTTCAATCATCTTGTTGGTGGCATCTTGTGTGTTGACGCTATGCAATCTCGACAAGTATTTAATTACGATTAACAATAACCGTTTCGATCATCTCCAACGCTCGAGGAGGAGCAACTTCTCGTGAGAAGATTTCCAAAATGTCGGCAAGTTTATCGTGTATATTCGATACGCGAGAACATTGGAAAACAATTGTCAGATTTTTCCGTGAATATCGAATTGGAACTTTTGTGATTGACGGTTGTTTATGAAGTAAAATTCTCCGTTTTTCGGAATAATTATTTTATTATATACGTGTGTTGTACGTAAACGAAACGCTCTGTTATCGATACACGTCTATTTCAACATTTTCGATTACGAGTACAGTCTTTATGCAGATTGCGAATCCATTTTAATTAAATTTGTTGCGGGATAAACAACTCGTAATAGGTTTATTCATTGATTCTTTCCAATTGGTAATTATTTTTCGTTCGAATAACGGAGAGAGGAGTTTATTTTAATACGTATCATTTTATATATCATAAAATTAAAAGTGGTTAATTTAATTTTTCATCACGAATCTTGTTAATATCTTTTTCTATTACGTAAATTCGTTTTTCTTATGTTACGATCGACTGAAAAATTGACGATAGGAAGTAATTTAATTATTGAATTGGCGTATAAGTGAATTATGAACGTGTGACTTGAGAAATTCATAACAGTTCAAATCAATGAAAATCTAAATTTATCGTTCGATAAGAATAATTTATAATTCGGGGTCGATTGATAAATTAAAAAATTTAGAAAGATTCTTTGCATAATTACAGAAATATTTTATCCAGAATAAATACATTTTATTTTTCCAACAAACAATAGTAATTTCACAACTGGATCTCTCCCACTTTGATCTTCTAATCGGTCCAAATTGTATCTTTGCAGGCCTCCTCGATCGTGGAAATTATCGTTCTACGGCTACGCAAGACCATTCCTCGCCAACAATCCGGCAGCTGTTGGATCGTTGATCGATAGAAACCTAGCGGGCGTATAAAAGGGTAGAGGGGTTCTCGGTGTCGTTGCCACATGCAGCTCACGCTTCCGCTATTAGAGTTAACGTAAACGGATTTAAGCTAACCCAATTTAGCGATGGGTAACTTTGCCCCCAGCCGTGTTTGTTTGCCATTTCTCGGGCCTTAAGCGCGCCGCTTGATTGCGTACGTGTGTCCGAATTGTCCTTGTTTTCCTATCCCACCCTACTCTTCGTTCCCTCCACCTACGCTATCCACCTACGATGGATTCCACTTCTTCGTTCATTCGAGATTTTTACTACTGGCCACTAGTTTTACGATTCCACGAAAATCTATCGAAGTTATTTCTTTTATTTCTTTTACCACGATTCCTCGGTGGTGATTCCTTGGCTTGGACGTATCATCGATTCGTCGACGTTCTCGTCGACGATAAAAACCGTCGATTATTTATCTCTGTTTTATCTTTATTATTCGATCGTTCGGAATTCGTTAGGATTCGTGAATAATAAAATTTAGTCTGTCGTTTTTCTGGTGATTGCCCGTTCCAGTGAGCAATTTTTGGTATTTTTTATTATTATAGTTGTATTATTCGATTCCATCGATGGATATTTTTATAAACGATGTTATTATTTCTTTTCGATTGTAAAATTGAAGGATCGATAAAATATATTAAATATTACGGTTCCAAAAATACTACGTTTGGAAACGTATAATATTTTTGATATTAACAATTATTTTGTATAAAGAAAAATCAGTGGATGGAATAGTCGAGGAAACAAAATTTGTATTTAAAAGAAATGATTATTTCGATAAAGCAGAAATTTGATTGGAGAAGTACATTGATCGAATGTAATTCACAAAATTTCATCGTTTCATCCCGACCCCTTGAAATATTTATTGGATCAATTCCTTCCGGATGGGCGAATGTCTTAGTAAGAGCTACGATCATTGGAATTCATCGAAGGGGATGAATGGCGGTTGATCGTCGTGGACGAGAAAACTGAGTCGGTTTGATTGCTGGGGGTTTCGTTCGTTATTATCTAGGCGAATATAGATTGCAAGAATTTCATCAAACGCAAAGGATCCTTCAATTTTCGTGAAAGGGCGGATGAAATAAGAAAAAATTGAATTCTTTTCTCGAATTCATGAGAAACGTATCTGTCTATCGTTTTATTTATAAAGGGATGTTATTGATAATGCGCGACTTCCATTTGAAATGAAAAAAATATATTCGAGTCCAAGTTATCAAGTGTTTGTCAATATTTTATTTTCTCGATGAAAATAATTCTTTGATCCAGCTTAAATTCACTTCTGCAACATTTCTCGTTAATATCGAATGAAATATATATTAAAAAAAAAAAGAAGAAGAAAGAATTCTTCTTGTAGGATTCGAAATATTGGTTTCTTGATTTATCGAAATGGGGAAACATGAAGTATAAGTTTCTCATTAAAAAAAATTAATTAATACGTTCATTAATCTTTCAAGTTCATGTGTTTTATTTCGAACTTCTCACAACTCCAAACTGGAGAAACTTGCACCATGATTTCCCGCCATTTTCATTCTTCCAGTTTGACTTCCTGATTTCGATCGATTAGAATTAGAAACCATTATCTTTTTTCCAATAACAGCAATCTGCGTGCCATGCCTTAAGAATTTCGAAATTTCTGAGAGAGATATTCATGAAACGAGCATCGGATCGCGAAAATTTATTCATAATTAATGATCGCTTGTCGGAGACCAATTAAGGAAGAAACGAAGAACCCTCGTGATATTCTCAACTCTCTTCCGTCGACGCACAGAATTTCCATTCTGAAATTTTATATTCCCGTCCTGACCGTCTCTTGCTGACACGTCCATCCCTCTTCTTCGTGATAAGTTTGGAATTTTAATTATTGTCAACTGCCACGATTCGAAGACAGTGAAAAGAAAGGAAGAGCATAGCGAGAAGAAACGGGCAGTGCATACAATGCATAAAATTTACAACGGGATATGAAGTCAGATTTCCAGGTAGGCACGATATTTCAGTGACATTAATTGTACCCTTAATTGTACGGGCTAATAGCTTTTGTCATTAATTTATGGACACATCGTAAATTAGTAGATACCAGACTGTAAATTACATGCTGTATTTCCTTGTTGACAATGCAGCTACCAATTATCGATACCAATTATCGTTAATTTTGATATATATATATATCGAATAAAATCAGATTTAATTCTTTAAGAATTAAAGTCTATAATTGTATACGAAAATTCGTGATTGTGCCTATATTTATATCATAGTCTTTCTTGAACGAAGGAGGAATATTTTGAAAGAATATTTTGAATATATTTATGACGAAAGTGAAGTCACTCTATTTTTATTTTAAGTATTATTCAATTTATGGCGTATCATTGAACATTGTCATAACCAATTATCCCATTTAAATCAACTCTAAAGCGGACTGATATCACTAAGGAATCAAAACGAATTTCCTTTCTTATTTTAAGATGGAAAATATTATGAAAATTTTTCAATAACAAGATCCACGAGCCATTTCCAAACGAAATCTTTCGAAGCATTCAGTAAAATTCACCTGTACGCCGTTCGAAAAATATTCCCCGTTAAAAGGTGGAATAGAGTCGTGGTTGGCAAGGATCGTGACCAAAAATCCAGTCGACGAGAGGTTGAAAACGGCACGTCGTTGCATCGTAATTGTCGTTATTCTTCGGGAATGTCTAGTCCCCGGCGAAACCCACTTTGCTCGCGTGGAAGCCCGAGAAATCGTGGACGAGAGAAAGAGGGAGACAGAGGGATCGAAAGTGGGAGCGGATAAAGGGAGAAGGACGCGTTAAAAAGACTACGCGGGGCTCGAACACTCGCTCTCGTTCCCCGATACAAATCGAAATATACCAACGATGGAATTCTCACCCCTCAGCCGCGTGTTCCGCGCTTGTGAATTCGTTCCAGCTTTTCTGCAAGACCATTCTGCAAATTTACCGCGATTAATTCGATTTCCGTTCCCCAAACTCGCTGCGGATGGAGTTTAATAACGTAATTTCGTAATTTCGGAGCGAACAGGGTCGAAGAAGAGGCGTATGGGGAGGTGGATGGTTCTCGCGCGATTGCAAAACTAATTCTCCAACGCGAGGGGGGAGAAAAACGACCCAAAATTGCGAGAGATTTATATTGACGATGTTGGATGGAATGGATGTTCGATAAATAGATACCGTTGAACGATAGATTAAGCATTTGAGGCATTCGTTTGGTATAATTAAATTAGACGAAACGTGGTTAGAGGTAAACCTTTGACCTGAAATCGAATCGAGAACGATTCGTGCTCGTAAATAATTTTGTTACGAGTGTAGAAATTGAAAAAAGAAAAAAAAGAAAATGTTTTTCTCGAAAAATATGAGATTCTATTGTCTTCGAATGTTCCAATTTATTTATATCGTGAAGCAACGATTATTTCATCTTAAATTATTAACATATATAATCGATACAATCGATACAAGCAAATGGAAATCGAGATGTCAAATTTCTGGACAGACAGTCGTCAATCATAATTACTATTATTTCCTTCTTTGTTTCGAGAATAATTCGACGATCATCGATCGAGAATCTTTGATTGAAAAATCGCTCGAGGCAAAATTGATACGCACAAAGCAAAGTTTACACCGAAATTTCATCGAGCTCGTTTCCTCGCTACAAACTTTCTCCCTAATGATCGAGCTCATCTGTCTGCCTGGATCTCATTAAGCTCTTTGCCAAAGGAAAATCGTATCCGCGTATAAAAATGAATTATGAACGAAGGAAGAATAGGGAAGGAGGATTGCGGAGAGATCGGTTCATTGATCGGTTAATCGCCAACCGGTCGGAAATTATTGGAAATTCACGCGTTTCTAAACCAAAAGCACACACATACACGCACATAGTTCAGTCAAGTGAAAAACTAGAGATAATCGGTGATGGCCAATGCATATTCGTCGATCACCTTAACATCTAGTATCTTGAGATCGAGAAATGAGGGAATATTTGCAAGAATAATTGTATTAATAAATCGCGTTTGGAGGAGGGCCAAAGCCAAAGGGAAGGTTGATAAATCCACGTCTATGCTCGAGAAATATAAAACTTTTGCGCGAATTTGTTCGCCTCGAATCGTTACATGCACATACTCACATTTCCACCAAGTTAAACATTCATCTGGAACGAAAGTCACCACCTCTATCTTGCTCGAATCACCGGACACTTGCGACGTTCACAGCACGAGACTTGTCCTTCGTAGCATACTTTTTTCACTCGAAACCAAATCCTCGCGATTTGAGAAAACGGAGCACAATAAGCACAGGATGAACAATCGAAAACAAGAGGAAACGAGAGAGAGAGAAAGGGACGAGATTTTATCAGGGTATTCTAACCAGTTCCTTTTGGCGAACACGATGATGATCCCATCGAATCTGTTCAATCCGATATGATAGGCCAATTACAACCGATCGTTATTGCTCTCGTCGAGCGTGGAAATATCCGTCCTGATAACCATAGCGGCGCATTATCCCGGCCGAGTTCTCGTTATCCTGCGGGTCGTCATAGTTGAGATGGGAAGGAGGGACGGATATATTCTTACATTACAGCAATTTTCACCGGGCGATTGTCAGAAAAAGAAAAGAAAAAAAAAAAGAAAAGAAAGATCAACACACCTGGGATACGAAATTTCTGACACGCATCGTTAAAGAATTCTTTACTTCTTTCAACTCTTATTCAAACACTTTATTCAACATCTCGAGTGTGCCACTTCTTCGTACTCTGATGATCACACCATTCTGATGATTCACCCTCTTTTAATCAAATCCAAATCAAGAAGAAGAGCGGAGAGAACGATTGTTTTTGTCGCGAGTTCCAATATTCAGCCAGCGATCTTAGATATCCTCTTCAACCCCTTCGATTTTCCTCGATCACCACGAACAACACAACAACCTTTAAAAAACAACACAACTGATTTTCGTTTAATTTCTACGAATTATTCGAGCCGAGTCACGCGCACCTCCTCGATGCACCCCCGATCCTCGAGGGTTGAGGACACGCGAGAACACGTTCCCGTTTTCGGTACGCGCGGTCCGACGATCGCGAAAGACGCGCGGGCACTGGCTGCGCCAGGACGATCCGCCACCCCCGGACGAGTGCGCGGACCGAGGAGGAGGTGGTGGATGGCTTTCGAGGGGTGGTCGCGCGAGAAGGAGAGACAACGGGGTGGATACGGCAAGTGAAAGGGGTGAATGGTGGCGCGCACGCAACGCATGGAATCTTCAACGTCCCTCTTGTGCTCTGTGGAGGGGGCGAAGACACGGTGAACAGTCAAAGTCGACTTGTTATCTGGGTTACTGGACTCTCTCCCTCTCCCTCTCTCTTTCTCTCTCTCTCTGTCGACCCTGACCAAGCCACGAATTAAACGGTTCGGGGTGTTTCGGCCTTGCCTCGGGATGTCGACCCTGTGGAATGATGGGGCAAGGTAATTGGGTTCGAGGGAAATGGGGAGATCGGAGCGGCGCAGAAATGTACGAACGTGGTAAGGAAGAATAGCTGTTTTCTTCGTGTCGAGAAGGGTTCCTCTTATTTATGTCCCCTTTTAAGGCGAAATTTGGATGGAAAATGTAATATTAATGCTTTAGAATATTTTTGAAATTGTCGATTAATGGTAAAAAAAGAAAGAAAGGGTATTTTGGATAGAAGAAATTGAACAATGTGGAATTTAATGATTGGATCATGTTAAGTAAAAGAATCACTCTCGAGTCTATTCTCTTTGAATCGAAAATTTTACGAATTTATATCGCATGTATCATATTGTTTCCGATATAGAAGATATCGAATTACAACGATCTCGTATGTTTCTCCAATTATATTTGATAAATCTTAACGAATCCGAGTCCTCCGTTAAAGAAGATCTCATTTGATCCTGGACAGTTTCAAGGATCAAAGAAGAAGGAGAAGAAGAAGAGAGGGACTCTCTTAAAGGTAAAGGACTCTCTAAACTGAACTCGAGGACTTCTCGTATTCAAAGTATACTAGACGTTATTGAGCCATGTTTCATCTAGCGTACTCAATTTATTGAACCATATTGCATGTTTATCAACGAGCTAGAATCTCGCAGATAAGAAACAGGATTCTTATTCTTTTTTTACTTTCCTTCAAAGAACCGTGGTCAAAGGTCCATTCAAGTAAGATACTTGAATAATAAGAATAGAATCTTTCTCCAAACGAGGAAAGCATATAATTTAATTGCATAAAAACTACATGATCAATAATAATTGAATTATCAACTATAAATCTAACATCCAGTACACAGAAAGCAAGTAACAAACAATCGTAAATAATCCAGAGTTGGATCTTTTGTTTCATTGTTTCAGAAGCGAAGAAAAAACTTGTAAAATTATTTAAACAAATATAAAATTATATTATATATCACTAATGGATACAATAATCGAAACCTTAAACATTTAAAAAAACGTGAAAAAGAAGACAAGATGGCGACAACTGCGAAGAGAACGTTTCAGAATTAATGGAGGAGCAAGGAAATACAGAGTTCGATCGCAACCTAGTTATAGAAGCTGGGCAAAAGAGACGAGAATAGTGGTAGGGCGTCTATCCGCCGCGGAGCAAGAAGGCGATGGAAAAGAGGGGAGGAGAGAAACACTGCGCGAGGAGATGAGGGAACAGAGAGAAGTCGTCGCCTCCTTCCGACACCCCCTGGAGAACCGGGAATACAGAGGAGCGAAATCGCTTTATCTGGGTTAGTGGACGTCGACCCTGACCACTTCCTACGCAAAGAGGATTGAAATAAACTCGCATTTATCAAGCGTTTCGCTACTGGTACGCTTACGTAACATTGGCCAGGCATCGGTCACAGTGTGAAGTTCTGCCAAGAGATCTCCAAGAGAGATGGAAACTGTCTCGTGGACGAGCTCATTTTATGGAACGTCACCTTGCCGACTGGGGATACATTTCATCGTTGGAAGGGAAACTTCAACAATGGGGGCCGAGTCTCTTTCGGAAGCTTAAATCCCACTGAATTTATCGTTCGAGCGTCCTCCGTTTCGCGAGCGAAATGGAATCTTGATTATTCGCATTTTATTTGTACGAGGGTGAAAAAATTTCTATTGCTCGAACTCGATGTATGTCTCGGTTATAAGTTAATTGCAAAGAGAATTGATTATTTATTTGGATATCTAAGATGTTGTGTAGGTCTTTAATTTGAAGAAACACAGTTTTGTTTCGATTCTTGATTCTATTGTATAAGTTATATAATAGTTAGTTTTTATAAAACGTATTTTATAAAATTTTGAATGGTTTCTTTCTCGATTTCGTTTGTATTCAATGATTTCTTGATTATCAAATATCGACACTTCTATCATTCGAATTTCAATTATTCGATGTAGCTTGTTCTTCAATTATTCGTTCGAATAAAATAAATAATTGTCGTATTTATCTCTTTCTATCTTCTATTTTAAGATCAGAATCGAATCTAGGGATGGTATTAATTAAATTGAGCAAGGTATATTTCGAAAAAATAAGGTGAAAATTATACTCTACGCAAGGCTCTGTTCTTTCTTTTCCCCACGATCCTGAAATTGTCCTCACGAGTTTCTTCTTTGGATGAAACCACTTTCTTTTCATAAATGTCTACTTTTTCTTTGAAACCGGAACGGTTGGAAGGTAACGAAGATAAAACTTTGATGAGGGAAAACACATGTAGAAAAAGTATAGAAAAAAATGATCTTTCCGTTTCCTTTGTCGTTAAACAGGATTCTAATGTAATTCAAATTTTGAATTAATCTTTTCTTTTTTTCCAATTAAATTATTGACAATAGTCAATTATATGTCCTCTTACTTTCTCAACAGATTTGTCACTACTAGTGATAGGATCAAGTTCAATGTATGCTTGTAAATCTGAATCAAATTCAACAATCAAAAATAAATTTTATTCGATTATTATCGATATAACAATTCGTTCTTCTTGTGAAATATTCGTATCTTCGTAAATAATTCGATTAATCGAATAAATGAACAAATTTCATTGATAGATATACATTTACAAAGAATCCATTTCTGTCGATGTTCAAATGTACGCGCGATTAGTTTAGTCCCATCGCTCCACTAGGAAATACGAAGCATAACAAGGAAATAGGAATCGATCAGACTGATTCAACTCTTAGAGAACGTGCGAAGTACTTGGAACCGACTTTTGCTCCTCCGCAAATATCGTCCTTAAATCAATCCCTTGAAATCTCAGTGCGAACAATTTCCTCGAATCTTTAAAATAAACTACTACTCACCGCTTCAAACATTCTGCTTCCATCCTCGTCCACAGTTTCACGAGTGATTCCCTCTTCTCGGGAAGATCGAATCTCGCGGTTTTTAAATTGACTTATCCAAGGATCGAAACGAAAACTTTTTCATTTGAAACGCAAGAAATTCAATTCTTTCTCGATCATTTCAACTCGTCATTGTCCACGATTCTTGTACAAGTATGAGAGCGTCCATTCACGCTTGTTTCGTGCCGCGTTTTCGAGAAATGGTCTTTGATGGATTTTCCACGGTTGTCACCACGACGTCTTCCTTCTTCGCGAAAAGACAAACATCTTGGCCGAGGACCAGGAAAACTGCTGACACATTTCCATGGGTAATGTAACTTGGTTTGCATGGAATCGTCGGTAACGGGATGGCAAATTCGCGTGCCAGAGCGTAAAAGAAACGTCGTGGAAACGAGCTATCACTTTATCCGACATTCGTGTCATTTTAATCGATTTTAAATTTTTTTTTTTTTCTTGAATACGGTATACGATATTTGATCGAGTCTCTCTATGAATTTTTCCCTGATAGAGTGAATAATTTCGTGGAATAAAAAAGATCTGGATAATTAATTTGATCGGTGGAATAGGTATTTTGGTATAGTGTTTAAAAATTATTTTAATTTCTTTTTTTTTTTTTTGCATAATGCAGTTCTTTTACTAAGTATTGTATATATTTTTTTTATACGGTAAAGTTGGTTAATGATTATTAATATCAACAAATTTTATACCTTTAGAGAATACCAGAAATCTCATTAACAAATCCTATAAACGGAATTAATAACTTTATTATTATTATAATAACGTTACCTTTTTTTTTTACGTACAATATGAACGTGATATCACGTGAATATAATATGAATTTAATGGCTATCATCTGTCATTCTTGCATTTTATTACGTTATTTGTATTACGAGGCTTTTTGATCCATTAAAATAAATAAATATAATAATTTAATAAATGAATAATTTTAAAAATTAATTTATTGGTCGAAAAATAATCTAAAAATGTTACATTTATATTTTCAACAGTTTCTGACTGAAATTCTTCGAAAAATTTCACAAATATTCACAAAATAGGATAAAATAAATAGTGATTTTTTTTTCTCTCTCTCTCTCTCTCTTTAATCGATAACAAATGTCAAATGTATAACTTAATTGACACGATCTTAAATCTAGTTCACTCCGACTATATTTTTTTTTTTTTTGAAAATAAAGAAAATAACGAGCAACCAGCTTGTTAATTTCATTTCACATATTTGTTGTACGTGAGAGGAAACTGTTTTTATTATTTGAAATGATCCCAGAGGTGATGGTTGGACGGAAAGTTTACAGAATGATGGTGTAACACATTGCAAATATATATTGTTTGACGATTCGTGTTTACACGATTGAGAAATTTTGCGTTCACTCGTGGGATGCAAAGCATAAAAAAAACAATAGCGCACAACTCTCGTTTCGATATTGTATCAATACCACATTCCGAATGAAATGTTCTCTGG